TCAATAACATAATCTTGTAGCTGAACTATGTATTACCCAAACAACTAAAACAAGAACATAATCTTGTAGCTGAACTACGTATTTGTACTATCCAAACAAATAAATCAATAACATAATCTTGTAGCTGAACTATGTATTATCCAAACAAATAAAACAAGAACATAATTTTGGAGCTGAACTACAAGTCAACAGGCTGATAAAAAATAAACCTTTTTTATATACAACAAAATATAAGAATCCAAGTAAAGGTATAAATGAATAAAGAAAATATTGAGGTAAAACAAGACAACTGTATGCTTCACAAACACATCATTTAGTCATGACCATGGTTTTGATGATGATACCTTTACTGGCGATACTGGTCATGACTGAATGATGTGTTTGTTAAACATACTATAGTCATGCTTTTCCTCATTCTTGTAATTATGGAGTTTCACCAAATATAAAAAATATATGCCTAAACACAGTAAATAAAACACTTTTAGCAAAGGCTCTTCATGTATTTGCTACTAATATTTCATCTTATACTGTTTTCATTAATGGAAAGAAATATTAATGAATTTTGTTTCTAATAAAAATATGAACTAAAGCTAACAGGTTAAAAAGAAAGAGTACTAAAAACTTTTATAATTCTTAGGAGGTTAAAGATGGAATATACTCAAAATCCTTCATTCAGAACCTGACTTAGACGGTCAAGAAAGATGTTCACGTGCGAAACTTGGAATGTTAGGGCTGTGCGAATTCGAAGGGACTTAGATCCACAACCACCACAATGAATTCCCTTCATATGAAGAGCTTTTAAAGCCCTATCTCGTGCTGCAGCATCCACAAAATCCAACGCACAAAATGTTCCTCTTCCTCTTGCATTAAAAATCAAGTGGCTGTGTTTTTGTTCAAACTGCTGTAGCCCTTTCAAGAGTTGACTTCCCGCTGTAGCAATGTTTGTCAACAGGTCCTCCTTCTTCACCACTTTGATGACTTCTTTTAATAAAATAAGCTTAGCAGGGTCTCCAAGCCAGGTGTTATAGATTCTGTAAGCCTCCTTTGGACGAAACTCTTCTTTATGATAAAACCCACCAGTCAACATTTTTTTACTGAATGTTACAATGTCCGGAGGATTATCCAAGTTCCAGTGCTCGTGTGCCCAAAACTTTCCAGTTGGCCCTCCTCCTGTTTGAACTTCATCCACAATAAATGCAACACCTTTTTTGGTGGTAATTTTTCTCAAATTTCTGAAGAACTCATCCGATGCATGGTTATCCCCTCCCTCAGCTTGAATAGGTTCCACAACCAGTCCAACAATTGGTTTTCCATTCCTACTTCCTTGTTCTATCAAATCCTCTACTTCTGCTAAACATTTTTCATCTTCTTCACTATTTTCACGAACATGGTTTTCTAGGGGATACTTGTATTTTGGAAAGTGAGCTACTGGCCAATCAAAAGCTGGGATATCTAACTTATGAAGTGGTTTTGTGTGTGTAGTTGACAAAGTCCCAAAAGTCCGGCCATGAAATCCACCCATGAACGAAAGAAAAGCCAACTGTGGGCATCCAGGGGTTTTATTAATCATGACAGATTTAAGTTCTTCTTCATTAGGTTCACGTCCATCTCGTTTTCCTTTCATGTACCACATACATACCGCTTTATAAGCATTTTCATTAGAGCATGATCCACAAGCCATTGTTAATAACTGTTTCAATCCAGGGGGCGCTACAGATAACAAAGCTGTATGTAAACTCTCCACAAAATCTACAGGAGGTAATGCACCTAAAGCTGGCCGGTTTGCAAATGTTGCCAGGTTGTTAGGATCTTGTATGGCTTTTAATAAAGCTGGGTGATTATACCCAAGAGGCATTGATGAAATTTGATTAAAAACATCTAAAAACGTATTACCGTCTACGTCACATATGTAGTTCCCTCTAGATTTGTTATAGTCGACGAAAAACTGAACTGCGTCCGAATTTTGAATTTCTCCCAGCTGCTTCTTTAGTTCTCGTGATTTTGGTCCAGGAATCTCGCTGGTCACGATAGAGGGGCCTGGTGGCTCCTTAATGTTAAGGTCTGACGACTGAGTAGTGAAATAGCGACTCGTTCTGTTCAAGTTGGATTGAACTCGCCATCTTGCTGTCTTCTCCGACAAACCAGAAATAGTTTTCAGAGCTAACTGTTTACAAAAACCCATCTGTTTGAAACTAAATGTATTTATATTTTACACTGTAAAAGCACTAAACTTTTGTTTACCAAATCACGTTAAACTTAAGGACTACAGTATCAGTCTTCAAGGACAAATAACATCTTCCTCACTTCTACATCTTATATACGCTACACTCTGTCAACCATCGTTAAAAAGATAAATATTTACGCGAGTTTCGATTGGCTCTTTCCTAAGACAGAATACTCAGAGGAATAAATTCGAAGGTTGTGCGGTAGATGTCGTATCACCAACTTAATGCATTTCAGTGTGGTATTTCCT